ATGCATTTTGTGTATAATAAAACATGAACATTTGTTCAAGAATCAATGTTCTATAATGTTGTCACCAGTTGTATTAATCTGAGCAAACATAGGAAACAATTTGTGTACCTCAGGAGATTTGTTCATTTAAATATGGCACATACATACTTTAGAATTCTGGGGAATAGTTAAGAGTGGGGTGTAGGTATATATGCTGCCACAGAAAGAGTCCATTTTAGTCAGTGGCAAAGGAAAGAGGCATAACTATGTGTAACAGTTATCAATTTATGTTAAAAATTGTCAGTGAATATTTTTAGCTCACCTATGGAAAAAAATGTTTCAAATATATTTTAAAATCCTATATGTAAGTTCTTACATGGGATTACCTTTCAGGAAAGTAAATTTTGGAAGAATCAGAATTGTGATTTACCTGTAATTTTAGTAGTTTTGTGCAACAAGAATGTCTGTTTTATTTGTTATTAAACTATTTAAATAATATTAACTTAAATATCAGCTCTATAATACACAAATATAGAATGGAGAAGTAGTGGGAAAAGTCTGAAATCAATATTGTAGCATACCAAAATCTTATTTCTTATAAATCTAAAATCACTGTGAATTGTTCTGGGTTCTTTTTCATAAGATGACCTAGGGGTTCAGGCCACTTTCCACAGGGGGCTCCACATTTCAAACCAGGCTTTCCCTCTAACTTCTAAATTGAGCAGAAAGCCTGGGAGTGATAGGTTGGGTTTTGTATAACTTGATGTGAAGGGAATAATCATGTTCTAATCATATTTTAATGTGAAGGGCACTCACATTACCTTTTCTACCTATAAGTGTACTGACAATACATTTTCCATATAAATGAGGAAATCAAGACACAGAGTGGAACGATTGCAGTCTCTCCAATTAATATAGTATTGTAAGCACTCAATAAAAACTTACTCTTATAATTTGTTTTTGAAAACCTTTTTATTCTTGAAGGAATTTCTGGATATATCAAATGTCTCTGCTATTCAACAAAATTTTCTGTTGCCTATATATGACAGCTTTGTACAAATCAAGGATCACATCTTTTTTACCCCCAAAAACTATCCTGTAAATCTCAGCAAGGTAACTTTCTATTCAATATCTTCTTTTCACACTAACCTTTTCAATAACCTCTATAATCTCAAAAGATTGAGAATTTATTTTCTTTCTTTTGGTACCAGTTCCAAATCCTAACTTGTAAGTTTCTGCTGAACGGTACCTGATGAACATACCTAAGTAGTTGTATAGGTGCTCTGAAGTACAATGAAAAAGCCATAATTTCCCCCTGGAGCAGAGAAAAGTGAGGAAAATGGTGGAGAATTGATTTTCAATTTCCTATTTAAACAAGCATACATTTCAGGGAGATGTTTTCTACATTTGTGGTGGATTGAATATTTTCTGTACAAAGATTCACATACACTTATCCCTAAGGTAAACGAAAGCTCTGTTACATGCCCAAAACACTTTACAAATACAATTAAATTATCAATTTATAAATACATACATTATTGTGGATTTCCAGCATGGACCTGATGGCTCCCTATAAATAAATCTCTCCATCTAACGGGAGAAAAGAAATGCATCAGAGGGGCAAGTTGGAAAGAGTGCAAGCATGAGGATATGTTCAACTTGCTATTTTTTTGCTGCTCAAAAAGTAGTAGTCACATGCAAGACCGTAGAGAGGCCTCAAGAAACTATGGCAGCTCTGGCTGCCAACCAGCAAGAAAACTCACTTTAGTCCAAGAACTACACTCTTCATAGAGCTGGATTCCAAGATTAATCTGAGTAAGACTGGGAATAAGATTCTTTCCTGTGTCTCCTAATAGGAATCCATGCTTTCAAAGTTTAATATGAGCTTGTGTAATTGAGCAAGGAAGTCAGCAGAGCCAGGCCATACATCTTACCTATGGAAGTGTAGCAAAATAAATGTGTGGTATTTTAAGTTCTTTAATATATAGTAGTTTGTTATGTCAGCATAGAAAACTATTATGCCTTCTTGAAAGAACATAAGATTTTTTTTCAAATCCACATACTAGACAAGGTTTCTAATTGTGATTTCTTAGAGCTTTATCTGTCACATAGTGCGGAGGCTTAGATTCTTTGCCTATTAGTAAGGTTCACTCAACAGTGTATAGATTCATCACCAGTTTCGAATAAGTCACCGAACATGCTTCTTTCTTTCTAATTTCAAATGCTTCTTAAAGCATAAATTGAATTATCTTTCAAGACACAGCAGATTGTGTCAAATTTTACTTATCTCACAAGCCAATTTGGAAAAACAAAAAGCTTTACTGGTAATGCCCAGAGCAGATGAGCAGATACTTAAGCATCATGGCCAGAGTGAAGAATTATGAGAGAGAGGCTGTGAACAGAGAGGTTCCATGCTGAGTGATGTCATAGATAGGGGGCATTTGCATGAAGCTGTGAAGCTGTCAGAGCTTTGTGTTCTAAAAGGTGCAGGTATAGCCTTTAAGGAGGGAAGCAGGGGAGAGCTAGGCAGCAGGTCATGATGCAGACTTAGGTATGAGGGCTCAGTGGGACAGCAACGTATTTTGGAAAGTTTTAAGCCTGATCCCAACTCCTGGGCAGAGTTAATTCTTAAGCAACACTGGGGTCAGGGACACATGGACCCTAGGGAAATGAGGCCCACAGGTAGTCCCCAAATGATGTTGGATTCTCATTTATTAGACCTGGGGTTAGTACATAGAGCCCATGTTTCTTTTCCTCATTGTCTAGAAATATTAAGTAGCTGTGAGAAGAGAAATGAGTGGAGCTGGGTGTGGTAGCTCATGCCTGTAATCCCAGCACTAGGGAGGCTGAGGCAGGAGGATCATTGAGTTCGAGACCAGCCTGGGCTACAAAGTGAGCTCAGGGCCACCCTGAACTGCATAGGGAGACCCTGTCTCAAAAAGACAAAAAAAAAAAAAAAAAAAAAAAAAAAAAAAAAAAAAGAAGAAGAAGAGAAATGAGTGGGAAAATGTGGGCTCTACTAAAACTCAAATTCTGCCCAGGGTTCTGACACTTGGGAGTCATGTGCAGCCAGAAAGGTTAACAAAGTTATGTAAGGCCCAAGATCCTTGTGTAGTGATTTCAAAAACCTTGCCTAATTGGACTTCTGTGATACTTACTGTATTGCTAGGGTTTAAATCTACAATGTTTCCCCAAATTCTTGTAGGTGGAAGATGATTAGATCACAGGGACTATATCAATCAAAGAATTCATGTATTGCTTAGTTCAATAGCTAATGGTTTCCTTAAGAAACTGGGCCCAGTCAGAAGTAGCAGGTAACTGAAAGTATGGCCAGGACGGGTGTATTCCTGTCCCCATCTCCTCCCTTATTTCTGTTTCCTGGCTACCATGTGTTGAGTATCCTTTCCTCCACTGTGCCTCTCTGTCACCCCCTTTTGGCTTTGGAACAATAGGCCCATGGTCTAAAATTGTGAGCCAAAACAAACCTGTCTTCCTAAAAGTTGTGGGTGTGAGGTATTGTGTTAAGCAAAATTGACTAAGACATGCATCATTAATAATTGGCAGTTATTACCGTCATTTTTTTAAAGGAGATGTCAGAGAATATGCACCATTCAGACAAAGCACAAAAATCAGCCAAACACATATAGCAAGCAAAACTAAGTCACTATATAACTTTAAAAGGTTGTAATTTACTTTGGACTTCAGGGACTTTCCTCCAGTTGGATGCAACTTAATTAAGGCTCTTAGAATTTCTATCAAGAATGAACTCTTTCTATCCTTTCCAACTCCACTTCTATTCTAACTAACCCCACTTTCATTTATTTCACTCCCATTCAAACCTATCATTCACTTAAGGCTTGCCAAATAATGCTCAACACATCCTGAGAAGACGCTTTTAATGTAGTAGGCTCTGTATTTTCCAGGCCAAAGCAAATCTGCCAGAAAACTTGCTTCTGAGCACACTCATATCAGGTGACATCACCCTTATTTCTCAGAAACTCTCTGGAACTGATGTGTATATTAGCTCATGCCTGTGCTTAACTGTATTGGGAAAAGGGCACTGACAGAGTATGAATGCAGGATCCCTTCCATTAGGAAGGATGAAGACTCTGACTTATCTACAACACCGAAGAAACAGCTAAAAGCAGTTTCCTTTCCAGATATTAGTCTTTTAACTCTGCACACATAAATTTAAGGATCTGGCCTGTTACCTCATTCCCTTATCTTCATCTGACCAACTATTCAGCTGAACTTAGTTGGCATACACTGAAAGACTGGTGTTTCCGAAGGCCTGAATGCACTTGTCTCAGGGCTATACCTGAGTATTCTTACCTGAATCCTCCTGTCTTTTGTTATTTATGTTTTAAAATATATCTCACCATCTTCCTCAAACAACAGTTTTTCTTAGTTTAAAACTCAGTGTGCAAGGGTAAAATCTTGTTTACCCTGAAATACCCAATATTAGCCCAGAGCTGCCACAAACAGATGTCTGGGTAACATTTGAGAAATAAATGAGACAGTGTGTAAAAGTTCAACTTTATTTATCATTTCTTCTGTATTATCAAACAACATGAAATATTTGAGCATGTATCTCTTAATTTTACAGAACAAAGTAAAAGTGATAAAGAAATACAATCATTTATCACCTCTATTTTTTTTTCTCTGATTTAGCTTATTTTTCTCCTGGGTCTTTTTCAAGGAAATGCCTAAACCAATACTGTGTTATCTTAAGTTATTAAATACAATGAAACATTTCTTACTTTACTGTACAGAATAAAACCTTCATTCTTAAACACCAAAATATTGAAATATATATGGTTTATGTCACTCACAAACTGAATTATGAAGCTATATAAGCTACCTACTAAAAGGAACATTTAAGTATCTAAGTTACTAAAGTTATCACACACAACAGAAACACATGCTATACTCTATGTCACTACCTAGCCTCATGCCAATCTCTACTAACAAAAACACTAGCTTTTCTGTTTGAAAACATAGTGAAGTATCTTTCTTAGACTTCACTTGGGACTAGGAAAGCTGCTGGAACTGACTCGTGAACGTAAATTGGCCACAGCAGCTAAACGAGCCCTAGATGCAGCTCTGGCTTGGGCTCTTTCCTCCTGATCTTTCAGTGCCTCTGCATAGCAAGCTGTGAAGACACTAGGAGGGCAATTATGGATCTTGGCCAAAAACTCAAGGACCTCCATTTTGCTGGTTTCAGCATGAGCTCTTGGACCCCATGTGAATTCATAGCGTGGAGGATTACTGTTGGGAACCTGCTGGTATTGCAGGTACTTTTCTTTCACTAAATCTTTGGTGATGAGCTTTTTAGCATCCCCAAAGAAGAAGTGCAGGCTCCCTGCGTATATTCCCATCATATTTAGCACTTCCCAGATTTGTTCCTCAGTGGCACGGTTGCCTTTTGTGAAGATCACACCTAGGATAGTCATCAGCAGGCCAGTCGTGGGTACACTTCCATGATCATCCACTTCTGCAACCTGGTCTAAATCCAGCTTGTTGACGAGGACATAGATATTCTTGTAGGGATCTACTTCTTTCACATCAAGGCCAAAGATCAATTCCAAGTGTTCAGAGGCTTTCTTCAAGACCTCAACAAATTGATTCTTACTTATCTGACTTACATTTTTCAGGATTTCCACCTTTGTGACAGGCTCCTTTATTTGATACTTGTACAGCAGATAGTGCACCAAGATAGCAACCCTTTCATCCACAGAGTCCTCTTGGTAGTCCTTAGTGGTCAGCTGTAAGTCTTTTAACATTTCCTCTACTTGGCTGGTGGGGTCTTCATTAGAACTTGGGTATGAAGCTGCGATAGCACCAGCAGCCATTGCTGTCTCAAACTCTTGACTACTGATTTCTCCAGTAGCATGTAACTCCTCAGGATTATCTAGGGAATGAAGACTAGTAGAAGGTGTCTCCTTTTTAGCTTGAGTGCCCAATGCATTCACAGGTTCTTCTCGAGCCTGGCGGCGCTTTTCACGGGCACGATGCTTACTCTTCTGACCACGAGGCATGATGAACGATGGACAGAAATAAAAGTCAGAGAGTAGAAGACAAAGACAGGTGATTCAGTGACCTGGAGGAAAGAGGATGAAATCATGTGATCCTTTTTACCAGAGAGATACTACTTGGGTTTTATCTGAGGCCACCTAGGTAGGTTTCCCTGAAGGCATTCATCAAGGAATTCATTAGGTTCTTTTTCTCTGATAAGCCTTTTCCCTGAGGCCCCTTAGATGCAACTGCAGTGTGACTTAAGTCCTTCATCTCTATCTGTGTCTTGTTGGACCTGACAGTGTCTAGAAGGTTCATACCCTGTAGATCCTCTTGTATTCTGGGGTAGAGGCTACTTTTCTCAAGTTATATTCAGGATCATTACGTTGGCTTCTAGTGGGACTGATTATCTCTATGGCTAAGCGTATTGATGTTGACTCCCTCTTTCTAATGACTTCTCCCTGACTCCTTGGGTGAGGAACCGAGGGGCAATGCCATTTAACTATATCAGCTGTCATATGACTTGAGATGAAAGCAGTGGTAAAACTCTGTGAGATCTCTCTATTCTGGAGTAAATACACTTGGCAGGGTTCTCATCTTTCCTTTTTGTACGGCCTGATCTTCTTTCCTCTACTGATCTGAGATTTTTAAAACCAGGCCTTAACATCCCTGAGGCTACTGAAGAGGAAACTTAGGGAGGTCTCCAACATACCTTCCCCAGAAACTTCCCTTAGGAATAACACTGATAGGGCTCTATTCTCATTGTTCAGGTTCCTTATCAGGACTCCTTGCCTTGGCTGCTAATGTTAGGTACCTTCCTTCCCCTGTGTAGATATAGGGTCTGTACCAATCAGGTCAAGAGCTTCACCCATGTGATATTCTAAAGCACTACTCTGAGGTAAAGAGGGATAAGCTTGAAGCATTTATAAGCAAATGGATGCACCGTGAGACCAGACCATAATATTAAGTGAAATAAATGAGACACACAGGCTTAAATATCATGTTTTCTTTTATATGAGAAACCCAAAATATAAATAAAAGTCAAAACAAAAGATAAGAGGTAGGGAGATCTTTTTCAGATAGGAAGTAGAACAAGAGATGGAGAGAAGGGGGAAAAGAGGGAATGGGGATGGAAAAATAATTGAAGAAATAAATGGAAATAGAGGTTTTGCAAATGGAAAGGGGATCAAAAGTTGAAAGTAGTAGTGAGAGATGGAAGAGACAGAAGAAAAGGAGAGAATTATGATGTATTATATATATGTACCGACTCTCCTCAGTAAATACAATCTTATGTATTTGCAAATAAATAGTTAAAAAAAGAAAAGAAAACAAAGCATAACACTTGGAGCAGTCTGCCATAATAGTGTCTCTGTTGAAGTCTGATATAATTTGAGGTGAATAAACTGATACTCTAAAGGTGTCAAAACTTAGTCGAAGCTGTGTGTGGTGGTGCACATCTGCAAAACCAGCACTTGGGAAGCTGAGGCGGGAGGATCACGATGAGTTCAAGGTCAACATAGGCTCTGTAAGCCAATTCAAGGCCAACCTGCACTACCCAGAAAGACCCTTTCTTAAAAATACAAAACAAAAAAACAGAACAACAACAAGAAAAAACCCCAAGCCTTCCCTCAAAAAAGGAGAAATAAACTGCCGCAGTGATCTTATGTGTTCTACTCAAACCCGAAAGTTAAGGAAGGGGGTACTGGTGGTTTACAGCAATACCACGTCCTTGGCTCTTCTGAAAAGGCAGTTTCCATACAGCTCAAGCAGAGCCATTTCACTTACCCGTGTCAGTGCCAAGGTAGGCAGGCAGGCGTGTGCCGTACCCTCTGCACTTGCGTAGGCGCAGGTGGCATGAGGCCAGCTTTTTCTTGCCACGCCCACTCACCACTTCCCAGGGCCTCTGCAAAGTCCATGCTTGTGGATGAAGGTGGGGTGGGGTGGCATGGGAGGCCGTCATTACGGGGGAGGGGAAGTTTCACGGAACTCGCGTGACGCCTTATTTGTCCTAGATGCCCCCCCCCCCAAGGCAATAAAACCTAGTTTAATTCGCTTCTCACCCCTTCACTTTCCAGGAGTGGAAATCCTGTGGGCCTCATATCGGGCGACTCCTTGCTAGAACCTTCTGTGGCGGTTTTTGGGCACGAAGCCGCAGGCCTTCGTTCTGGGGGGTGGGGGGGGAGGCAGTCCCTTCACACTTTAATATCCTTACCTTTGCCAAGGCCTGATTTCTCCTGCTGCTAAAGCAGGTGCGACTTCTCTCAGGACCAGGTCTCACATCCCATGGACTCCAGAAGCCTAAGTCAGCAGCGTAGACACAGCCGGACTTTTACGACTGCGAATGGGTTGGTCAAATGCAGGGTATGACTCTGTGGTGCCTCCTCTTGGTGTGGAGTGGCCGGAAATTTCAATTCACTTCCGGTGGTAGACCCATGTTTCCGTTTCTGATTGGCTGATCAGAAGATCCGTGGGAGAACAAAAAAACATATCGCAATTAGTTCCGTACAGTCTCTCAGTTGGAACCCTTAAAAACATTGCTATTCCAGTCTAGGTGTGAGATGAGATGGAGAAGATGCGGCCCAAGGTAGGCAGCCCAAAGTGGCTCTAAAACATTAAAAAAATGCACTGTGGCTATGTAGATGGCACCAGCCGAATCTAGACTTTCTGTAACTTTGTGTTCTAAGGCAGTCACTTTTCGAAAGTACAGTATGTGCGTGTGCGTATAGAAATTGTACAGACAAACACATTAATTTATAAAGCCAATGTGGGTAAATAATTACAACAGTAATATAAAGATCTATTTTCTGCAGAGGGGATTCAAAGTTGCATAATTTTGTGATGCACAGATCTTTTGCTCCTCTGTACAATGGCATTATATTGTGTATTGAAATTCGTTTGAGATTTAATCTTCAGTCATAGTAACAAATATATTTATGTCCTAGTGTTACTGCGTTGAGCAGCAAGGCTCTTAATTTTAGTGGTCTGTAAACCATCATGTAGAAGTCGCTTATTTATTGGAATAATCCACGACCTTTTCTTTGAGCTTTCCAAAAGGATGACCGTATTTTCAACAACTTCCCTCCCTCCCTCTCTCTCTCTCTCTCTCTCTCTCTCTCTCTCTCTCTCTCTCTCTCTCTCTTTCTTCCCCCTCCCTTTTTTTTGTTTGTTTTGAGACAGGAACTCGCTTTTTTTTTTTTTTTTTTGTCTTTTTCCTTTTTTTATCGGTACCGGGGATACCAGGATCAAACTCACAACTGCCTGCTTGCAAGGCAGGCGCTTATGCTGCTGAGCTAAATCCCCAGGCCCCAGAACTCGCTTTGTAATTTAGGCTTGCCTTGAATTGTCTATGGAGCTCACCCTGGCCACAAACTCAGCGGTCTTCATACCTCAGCCCCCTGTGTGCTGTGATTATAGATGTGTCCCACCATGTACGGCATTTTTGATATTTATAAACTTTGTTTTCTTTTTTTAACTTTTATCTTCTGGTTTTTTATTTTTATTTTTTTTCTGAGACAAGGTCTCGCAATGTAGCTCAGGCTGACCCTTAACTGGCCGCTATCTTCCCATCTCAGACTCTGAAGTATTGGAATTACACAGACATGCAACATTCCAATTCCATCAGCTCTAACTTTTATCTTCTGGCTTTCCTTCCTAGTACTGTACTGTTGTGCCTTGTTCTTTACTTTACTGGGAAGGCTTCTAACTGTTCTTATTTCACATTTCAATTTGAATGTTATTGGTTTTAGGAAACAAGTTCCATTCTAATGTTGACTTGCTGAGTGCTATTAAATGCACTTACATGAAAGGTTTTGCCCCGAAATTTTGTCTTCACCTTAGCATATGATCAAACACCTTTAAGAAACTGATTTATTAATGTATTAATATTTTATGCTATTTACCTCTAATATTGAGACATCTTTACATGTCTTGGTTGCAGCCTGTATTCATTGGTAAACTGGATTTATTATGAACTTATTTAAGATCTTTGCCTCTACCTAAATGAACTTGAGTTCAGCATTCTTTTTCTCAGGGAGTCCTCAGGTGGTTTTATCATGAAAAAAAGAAAAAATCTAGTCTGGGAAAATGAGTTGAAAACGTTTGTAGTTTTTGTGCACTTTGGATGTATTTGCATAAATGATTGCTACTTTTTTGCTGATTATTTGGTAGAACTGCCCCCTAATTGTCTGGTATTGAATATTTGAGGATGGCTGGAGCTTTGAGTACAGTTTAACTTTGTGTTGTTCAATTACAGTGTTCTATTTCTGTTTAATCAAAGTTGAATAACTCATATTTTTCTAAATGATGATCTCTTGGCATTTGTGATTTCAAATTTAAAGGTTTTATATATTTCTTGTATTATGGGAGTTCTGAAACATATTCAATAGTACAGATAATATACTTAACACTCAGAATCAGCAATCATCAATATTTGGCTGCATAGCCAAACTGGTTGCATTTATATTCACACTTGCCATCATCCCTACCATCGAAAGGATGTGAAACAAATCCTGCACATTATGTTACTTCATATTAAAAATTTTAGATCTATTTCCAAAAGATATATCCATAAACAAGATTTACTCTTTCTGTTTTAAAAATTTATTTCCTAATTAAATCAAATGTCCAGTTATTTTTCATTTTTACTCAAACTGATGTATTTGTGTAAATTTTTTTCCTTGAACCTAGGTCCAAAGTAAATTAATTTTTGACATTGCTTTTAATGTCCATTTATTTATAGATTTTTCCCCTATGAAATACATGTATACATTACCTCTTTTACTTACAATATTTTTTGTTAAAAACTAAACAATCACTTATGTTCTGTCTAGTTTCACATGGTCTAAATTTTGCTGATTGGAAAACTAGTGTCTCTCCTTTGTGTTTCTTTAAATTGGATTTTTTTTAATTTGTAATTTTTTTTTATTTAAAGAGAAAAAAAGAAAGGACATGAAAAAATAAAGCAGTAAAAGGGTACAAGTAATAGAGAATTTCAAGAAAAAAATACACAGGAAGAAATCATCAG